AGACAGATATTAAGCTTGTGTGAACGTTCATGAGTTCTGCAGTAATGTAGTTTAAAGTAAACTATGTTTTTTTGTGTAAGGAAACCTTTTGCATGGGCACAGATGCTGTAATAGCATGAAGCATACATGTTAACAGTTGGATTTTAAAATCAATTATTTACATAATAAACATCTAGCTATTTGTAATCAGATGTCTAATGTGGTTTTGTCCAAAATTTTAGTCTGGAAAAGTCTGGAATGTTGAAAGGTATAATGTGTAGGAATCCTGAGATTAAACTTAAAGTACTCACGCTGTTGTTATGTAACAAATTCAACCTGTTTGGGTCTGTTTGGTCTGTTTATAGGAGATTTTTTGGAACCAGGCAAATTGTCCATTATTGCAGTGACGGCATCTGGTTTTATTTCCTGTTCCTTGAGCTCAGCTGCTCTCCTCCGCTCAGCTCCTCCTCTCCTACACTCAGAACCGCTCCGTCTTTTCTCGGATGCGCCTCTCTCTACCCCGCCTCTCCTCTGCTCTGAGCCGCTCCTCCTCCTAAACCCAGCTGTCCTGTAGTCCAACACATCCCCCAACAGTCCCGAGCGCTCCCTCACAGCCCCGGCACTAGAGTCTCTGGCAGTAGAATGAGGTTTCGCATTAGCACCTTCAACGGGGTTGCGGATGTTGCCCGAGGCTTGCATCCTCCTCAGGTGGTTGTTGGTCCTCACAGGGCTGCTGAACCTCTGAGCCTGGGATGCAGAGCTCTTGTCAGAGGGGTGCGCCCGGCTCTCGCTGTAGCTCCTTTTAGGAAGCGACGCTGGACCCCTGCGCTCCAGCATGGGGCTCAGTCTAGACTGACGGCTGTGGCTGAGGCCAGAGCGGCAGCATGACGTGTTACAGGTGGAGTAGCGGATACGGCAGAGGGTGCAGGCACAGCCGGAAAGCAGGGAAGAGTGGCTGGCCAGAGAGGAGAGGAAGGTGAGGGGGAAGGCACGCTGACACTGGAGGATGCACTTTGGAGAGCTGAGGCGCGACGAGGCAGCGGCAGGGGACCTGTGGCAGCTGGATATGACATCCGACACCGCAGACTTCCCACTCTCCTCCTGGGAGGTCTGAATCTGGTGCCACTCCAGCTGCAGCAGCCTGTCCAGGTACCTTTCCAAAGGGCCCACAGGCCTCGGTCGAGGTGCCCCCCGGCCCTCCATGTTGTAGAAGACCGCCAGCTGACTGAGGTTCCAGGAGTTAAAAGGTGGAGGGAGGAAGTCTGGGAAGTCAAAGCCACCATGGCGTCCTCTGGGCCCTAGACCGCAAGGGGAGCAGTCTTCAGCCTCGATGACCTCAGGCCTCAGCTCGAGCTGCGGAGGAACCCGACCAGAGGGCCACACAGGAAGTCTCTCTGACTCAGACAAGTCGCTGTCGCTGTCACCTTCTCCATGGCCGCTCAGACTTCCTGCCTCAGGGTTCGGTGACAGTCTCTCCAGCAGATCAGGACTTGAATCAGTCAGGCGGTGGCAGGGGAAGGCTGGTGTGTGTCTGCTCCCTCTGACACCTGTGTGTTCGTGTTCTCTGCAGCTGCAGTGTTGAGCAGCAGGCCGCACCTTCGGCTCCATCCTGTCCTCTGCAGGGGACTTAGACTCTGAGGTTCCCTGAGCACTAGAGGGGAAGTAAACGATGCTGGCTTAGAATCCAGGCAAATCCCTCTATCACTCATTCTTATTTATCTAACATAGAATCCGAAATTGGAAATGATTTAGTTATTCATTTATGAATCCAACATAAAAAACTAATAACAATATATAATAATAATAAATGATTTTGATATTTAATGTGTGTGATTGGTGTGAAGGAAGGAAGTTAGGCTACTAATCTCTTTATAAGTTGCAGTTGATAGCCTACCATTGCAGCAAATACACATGGGCGATGGCACTACCTGACTGAATGAATATAAGTCTAAATGTCAATATAAGGCTCTTTTTTTCAACAAGTATTTTGGAACATGTCGTGTTAAAAGTCTTCAATTGTGTGAACAGATAAACAATAAACAGTAAGTATATTTTCCAAAAAACGTTGAAAAACAAACGTTTAAGTTTATATTCATCATATTAAATCAGGCACCGCCGTTGCCCAAGTGCATGTACTGCAAGTTTATCAAGTGCAAGAGGTCAGGAACTTCCTGGCTTTACCAATCAGACATATTAAATATAAAAAATCTATTTTGGTCTGTTCATTTCCTATTTTTGAATTGAGCATAATATAATAATAATAAACTTTATTTGTACAGCAACAAAGCTACAATGTGCCTTACATGGCCTGAACCAGCATTAAAAACATTCTAGGAAAAAAATCAAAGAAATAAAATCGAAGTGTGTTAGAATTAAAAGTAAAAATCAGTAGCAACAATAAAGCAGATAAAACATATTGCAAAACCAACCGCACTGGGGCAGATGATACAATAAAAAGATACAAAATTAAAAGCACAACATACCCATCAATAATTACCAATATATGGTAAAACCAACAATAGCAATACAATACACCAATATAATAGATTAAAGATGATGGAAAATGAAACGTGTGTTAGAATAAATAAAAAGATGTTTTAAAAGGATGTTTTAAGAGGTGATTTAAAAGATGTCACTGATTCAGCAAACCTTAGCCCCTCAGGCAGCTGAAGGGACTGACTGTAGCCATGATTTGTTTTGTGCTGGATTCATAAATGAATAACAAAATAACAAAGCATGAAACTGGCACAAACTGCAGCCTCACCTGTGTTGAGACGTATTGCGTTTGGTTGAGGGTGTGTTAGACTTGTGCTTTCTTCTCTGCTGCAGCTTCTGTGATCACAGAGAGTCACTGTTAGGCCTGCACACACATTCTACTGATCACTAATACATCCACACACATCATCACTAAATACTGATGCTGCACCTTTTTCATTATTAATCGATTAAAGCTCCAGTGTGTAACATCTAAGAGGATCTATTGGCAGAAATGGTAGAAGAAATAATATTCATACGTATGTTTTCATTAGTGTATAATCAACTGAAAATAAGAACTGCTTTTTCGTTACCTTAGAATGAGCTGTTTATATCTACGGAGTCTATTATGTTGAACCACTATGTTTCTACAGTTTTACAGAGTTTTGCAGCCACCGTGTTTTCTCCTACACGCTGTAAAACCAGATAAATTCATATTAAAGTAAAACTAACTAAATTTAAGTTAAAAATATTAGTCTTGATCATGTAGCTTTAATAATTTTAACTGATAATGATTTCTATTTGTCCTATAAAAACAAAATACCTAAAAGGTTACTTATTAGGAATGTTTCTGTAACTTACAAAACCTAGTTAGTGCCACTTAAAATTACAAGTAAAAGTGGATTAATCAAGACTCAAAAAAATTTGGAGTTAAATAAACTTATCTGGTGGACGGCCGTGCAGTGTAGAGTAAATGCACACTGCAAGATGCCACTAAATCAAACAAACCTTAAATCATTTGGTCTTTGAATCTTTCGAAAATTGTGAAAAATGCTCCCATAGCTAGACCACCGCTAGAGGGTCTGTTGAGGTTCCCAAATGGGAATGAGATGCTCTACTGTCAGAATGTTATATATTTTTTTAATTACCTTAGCTTTCAGACATCTCCTTGTCTTTTTTGTAAATAGATGGTTCATGACTTGTTTATGATCCATTGCACTTCTTTACACGAAAAGAAAGGGAACAATTTGGAGGTGTTTTTATTTTTATGTTGTTATCATACATAGGTTTTACTAGTCTGGCCCACTTTAGATCGAAGTTGGGATGTATGTGGTATGGAGCAGAAGCACACATTTGAGAAAGATGAATACTGTAAAACTTCCAATAAAAGCAGGGTCCCTAATAGACGCAGGTCTCCTTTAAAAGCCTGGTGTGGCTACACGTTTTGACAAATAAACGCAGGTCTTAAATAGAGGCCTGGTCTGGATTTATAGAAATTATCTCAATGTATAAAACCTCTTAAAACCCACCAGGTCGCCCGCTTGAGCGAGTTTTAAGTCGTTTTGATCTCCTACACAAATATAAATGTTTAAACTTCTGTCAATATGTACATGCTGCACATCATGCAGATCAGTTAGATTCTCCACAATTCAATCTTTCACTATATTTTATGAAAACTATCAACATAGTAACGTTAACATAACGTTAATTCATTCTGAATTACTGGTATCATGGTAAACAAGAGAGACAGAAAAAAAACCTCTGAAGCATCATAATCATCATGTTAGTTGTCAAATTTGCTGAACAAACCTCAAGAGAAGCAGGAGTTAGTTCAGTTTAGTTTTGTGCTAAAGGAATTAAACACCTGTCCCAAATAGAGGCCTGTCCTCAATAAAGGCAGGGTGAGTTCAGTGATTTAACCAAATAAACAAATAAATTATTAGAAGTTTTACAGTAATCATATAGGTCGCCACTTCATTTCCTGTGACAGGCTAATGGATTTATGGACTGCTGGTGTCAGTTCTGCTCCACTCTTACCTTCTCATTATTTTTCTCCTGACTCGGGATCGTGCACTGTGGCTGCAGGGACTTCCTTTGTGACTGCCGCCTGCCCATTTTGTTGCTTGAAAAAAAAAAGAAAAAGATGAAATATTAAATGCAAGCAATGACCCAGATACCACTGCATAAGAAAACACAAATGAGATACAGAAACTGGAATATATCGCGGGATTTGCAGTGCCGACATGTTGCTGTAATTCCACACACGGAGCAGAGATGCGTTTGGAGATCAAAGTGCGGATAATAACGCAGCAGAGAGAGCCTCGGTCTGAATAACATATGATCCCACGCTACCTGCCCACATTAGGCCTGTTGTTGCTCCACGATGCCTTCTTCTTCCAGTCCCTCTCCCTGATGGAGACCCTCTCCAGGCATTGTTGTGGCACTCGCTCCTGCAGGATTGTGCCCATCCCAGCGCACACAAGGCACCAATGAAAAGGCCGAGTGGGCTGTTCACGCGAAACACGGCGGTGTGATCATAATGAGTGGGGGGGCGAAATGCTCGAAATGCGCCCCTCTTCTGCAGGATAAAAATACGTGTGTGTGTGTGTGTGTGTGTGTGTGATGATTGGTCGTCGTCCAGCAGAGCGCAGTGTAGAGCTGTGTTACAGTATGATGCTCTACCTGGAAGGGGGGTGTGGGCGAGCCTGGGGGAAGTTTACACGAATGTATGGAAGCTCATTTCCGCCAATATGACCGAAAAAAGAAGAAAAAAAGAGTATGTAAATCATTATAAGGAGAAACCTTCTCAGTACTTTTACCTAGTATCTCAAAATAATGAGAAACCTTTAACCTAAGTAATTATTTTTAGCATCTCAAAATAAGGATTTAGTATCACAAAGTCAGTATTATAAGATATATCAGTATTTTAAGAAAGTTTCTCATTATAATGATTTACAGATTCGTTTCCTGTCACGTTGGCAGAAATGGGCTTCCATAAAAATGTGTGGAAATACAGGGGGTCAATTCTCCCAAATCGGTGCCTTTCCCATCCCTAGGATATTACATGAATAATTATGTATAAAAACTATACATATTATGAAGCGTCCTGCACTTTGTTCTAATTGCAATTTAAAGATATATTATGTAAAACCTTAATAAAAACTACTACTACAAAAAGGATTTCAGCCCACTCTCACTTTACCATGAAATATAATGATTAGAATCCTTCAGAATTTTTTTTTGTATTATTGTGAGTATTTTTATATGTATATAATATGTTAAACTTCACATTTTAGTTGTGTCCCCAGGTTTTCCCTCAGTCCTGTTGCCCTGACATATTCCCTCCCTCTAAAAATGTGGTACATTTCACAAGTCACAAGCATCATTTGAGTCTTCTAAAGGCAACGGAAGACCAAAAGTAACACCTCTCACTCTATTTCCTTATTTTTGATCATATTTAAAGTATAACCAGGAAGGTAAACCTCAACGTTCAGTCCTGTGACCTAAATTATATCTTAGATGTTATTATATTTAAAAAAGGTTTGGTAAACCACCTGAAGGTGCTCAGCTCAAGATGCTTGAAACTCACTCCTGTTACCAAAAATGAAAAAATCTTACCATGTAAAATATAAATAAAATGGCCTAAGATTGACCATTACACATTTTGTATAGTTAAACATGTGTGTTATTAGATAGAGTGATAGAAAAAAAAGAAGTGAATGAAGTTTAATTTTAATGGGTTACAACATGCAAATGGCAGCGATCTGGTGGAAAGGCTCACAGGCAGACTATGCATATGTGTGTGTTTGTGAATGTGCTTTTACACAGTGTTGGGATCCAAGGATACCTTTAAATATGTACTTGCTCATTTGAAGTGTTTAACTGAAAGGGAGCGCTGTTGGAAATCTGACAGTGTACTCAAAACCCAAAAGGAAGCTCTCCTGAGGCCTGTATGTAAGTCAATAAAAGCGCTTTCTAGTAGTGGTTGGAAACCAAAAGGAAACACGCCCGCCAGATAAGCAGACCCGCTCCCCTGTAGGATGTCAAAAATGCGACCAAAAGGTGTGGGTTTAAAGGACCATAATAACGCCCAAAACACCGGGAGCTGTCATTGTCAGTTTTCCTTTGGACCCAAAGACTCTGTCCCATCCAAAACGGCCTAGTTAAGCAGAGAGATGATCGTTTCGCTCCTCTCTCTCCTCATCCCGACTACCTTGCACTCCTGCTCACGACACCCCACCCCCCGGATGATAGTTACTGGAAACCTCGGTGCGGCCTGACCTCACCCGACGACGCCATGAACCAGGATTAATGGCACCGGCACAAAAAGCCTGCTTTTTTCCCCTGGCGATACTGGCACCAAGTGGAACATCCGCAGCAGCAGAGACAGTTTGGAGTTTTTTTTTTTTTTTTTTTTATGATTGCAGAAAACATGAATTCTGATTGCCAGCCTGGGGCTTCACCAGGCTGACCCACCAAGTCTCACCCGGCGAACTCGTTTCCTCATCTTCTTTTGGAGAACTGTCCGGTAACGTACTGGGGCATAGACCAGACAACTTAACAGAAAGTTGTAACGGCTAAAAACAAGGACTGTTTAATTATTGTTAATGATTGCTGATGTGTTTTATCAGGTTATCCGTGGTAATTGGATATAAGTGATTTGATTAACTTGAAGGTTAGCGTAGTAACTGGTAGTCCTTGAGACAGTGCTAAGGTGATGGTTAGTGTTTAATGTTATGACTTCACACAGACATGTCGCCGTTTTGCGATACACTGAAACGTCCTTGTTATACGGCACAAGTGTGTTGAAAAAATGCTAAAAAATTATAAACAATATTGGTCTATAAGTACAGAGGCACGTTGAGAGGGATTAAACAAAAAACACCTCGCGCGTCTCTAGAATTTGCTCTTGATGGTCTCTCAGGACAAGGATGACATTAAGAGCCAAGTTATATATAGACCCAATTTAGAACACAGTCACGACACAAAGACACACACACACGTACACTAAGACGACACACACGTTCCTTTTTTTGTTCGTCTTATAAGTTAGATTGTACAAATTGTGTAATTGTTTGCCCTCTGTGTTGCGTTTTAATAGTATTATCGTGGTTATGTAAATGTTTGTGTTTAATATGTCGTGTGGCGCTAGTTTAATTAATTTCGGTACGAAGAGTGAATTGTGATTACCAAACGTCTTTCTGATATTTCTTTTTTGATTATTTATGAATGTTTTGGGATAACCATGTAAGTATGAAATTAAAACTATTAGCCAGTTTAGACCAACTCTAAGCAAACCCTACGTCATAGAGCCCGACAACAGAATAAAGAATGAGTTAAATAAAGTTAATACAAATTTTAGGGAAAAAATATCAAACAAAGATTCTTCTTTAGGCCTGTTCTATGATGAATTAGTGGAAGTACGGTAAAAAAGTAGCATAAAATGGACATACTCAAGTGGGGTGCTCAGCAGTTTTCATTGATTAGAAATGTTACATTTCTCAAAGCTTTTCTGACCTAATGTAAGCCATATTAGAAATTAATGCATCTCTTAACAGTATTCAGATTTTGTAACTTCATCACATTGATTACAAAACAGTCTCAGAAGTCACTGGTGCTACTTCATTTGCATAGTTTAGGACAATATTTCTTCCAACATGGCTCAGAGGCGTGTTATTAAGAGGACTGAACATTCACGTTATTGTCAATTAACATGTTAAGGCACATACAGTATTATAGCCATTAGTCGCTAATGAGAGAACAACTCTTATGACTACAGATGACATCACTCCACCATCCACATGACCCTGCACATCCCTCTGTGTGTCCCTCCTCTGTCAGTGTCCACACACAGGGAGCTGATGCCTCGCTGCTTCTTCCTCCTGGGATTTGACTTAATACTCGATGGTAACCGCCTTTGTCTTCAGGTATTCGTTGAGAGCGTCTTGTCCTGTGGGAGTGACAGAGACACTGACAGTGAGTGTGGATATTAATGAACGCTGTCGCTGCATCCTGGGCTCAGCACCACCCGAGGCAATTGTAATATGTTTAAAGCCGGGTTCTCAAACTCAGTATTATCAACTGTTTGCACACATTTGCAGACAAATAACATTTTTTATTATTGTTTATTGTATTTTTTTTTTTTTAACAGGGACAGTGTAGATTAATTAACATGAATGGTTAGTTTACATTGATATCAAACAAGGGGAAAAAATGTCATGGGCAGGATTATATTATATTTTTGAGCATTTCCCCCCCCATACCAGTGTTCAGCCAGACCTTTCTCCAGGACACTTGATTAGTAAGGAGATCTTGCACAAATACGTGCACTCAGGTGCTTTGTTGGTTTTATTTTATTTTCATATAACGAACAAATAAGTAGAATCAACAAGCATTACAGTTCCAACTAGTAAAAACGTGCATTCAGGAGCTGAGAGGAGTAATAACCATAGACGTATAACCATAGACCATATGACAGCCCTCTGAAAGTGAAGCCAAAACATCTCGATCGCCCCCTGGTGGCTGGCTGCAGCATAGGTCATATAGCTTGCTGCCTCCATGTTCAAATAAAACTCAATGTAAACGTCAAACACACTAGAGATGGTTTCTGTCATTTTAGGTTGATCTTATCAGCTGATGTATGTTCCACTGTTATCATTCTGATCACAAATCACAGCTGAGCACTGCTTGCGATTGAGTCGGCCAGATGTATGACTTTGAAAGGAAGGAAGTGGAGACGGGACGTCAATCTATCACATGTTGATGGTAATAGTAGTAGTAGTAACCTACAATAGAAAACTAAATCAACAATCTTTCTCAAGACATAGGCCTACTGCACATAAAGGACGTTTTCTGTCCAATATTTTTTTTAAGGAAGGAAAACATTTGCTTTCTTTCTGTGATGAGAAGATTTCTGAAAGTTTCAACTTGTTTTTACATTTCTGTTTTTGTCCCGATGAAATAAACAAGATATAACATGTTAATTAGTGAGGCGTTAGAGGTGCTGGCAGGCAGACCTTTACATATTTAACATTAGACATTAGAGTGGTATTCAACTCATGCGAGAAGAAGTGTCTTTCCCAAAATGTTTACCTGTTCTGAGTGTTACTGCAGCCGTGGTTAATGTCTCTGTATGCCCTTTAATCTAACTGCAATGCTAATTAAAATATATGAATAAAAGTTTTTCTCACCCAGGTCTTTGCCAAAGCCGGACTGTTTGAAGCCTCCGAAAGGCGAGGCCACGTCAGTCTTATTGTAGGTGTTGACAAAAACTGTGCCGGCGTTGAGTCTTTCACTGACGTACAGAGCTTTGCTGATGTCCCGCGTGAAAACACCTGATGCCAGGCCGTACTCTGTGGCGTTGGCCCTCCTCAGGACATCGTCCACCTCACTGAGGCACAGAGACAGAAAGGAGCTGTGGTCAACGTGGCAAAAAGGGTGTGTGAGTCATTACGAGGTGTGACGTAATCATGAGTTAGCCTTACCCGCTCTTGAACTTGGAAATGATCATGACGGGGCCGAAGGACTCCTCTTTAGCGATGTACATGTGGTCTTGTACGTCAGTGAACAACGTGGGTTCAAAGAAAAAACCTGGAGGCAGACAAATAACAAGTCAAACTGCATCATCTGTCACATCACAAGTTGATATCTGAGACTGTCAGTGCAGATAACGTTGGCCCACCTGGTCGCTGCACCTGTTTGCTCCCACAGACCAGAGTGGCTCCCTCCTTGACGCCGGTCTGACAGTACTCCACCAGTTTGTCCAGGTGGGCTTTGTGGTTCTGAGGGCCGTGGTCTGTGGAGCGGTCCAGCGGGTCACCGATCTTCATTTTCTTGATCTCCTCAACCTGGGAGAAAAGACATCGGAATGAGACAACCACAAAATCAGAGATACTTGCTTGACTTAATCTTTTTCTGTCCTAATGGAGTACAGGTCATCTACGACTCTAAACCATCAAAAAAAATGTTGTGTTCAAAAATCTCTACTGAATAGAAGCATATTTCTAAATTTAAATCTAATCTGTTTGGCTTTCTGTTTGATGTCCTCCTGTCCTCCAAACTACAGTACTGCTGGCTCACTGAAGCTAGCCATCAGGGGTCCCACTCTTTTTCAGAAATTATTTACCAAGAGTTTTACTCGACAATACAGGACAGCACTTGCTCACAATGGTGGTCAGCATTTGTGGGACACTCCACATTTGCTTGGTTTCATTGCGCGCTCGGCAGCTGATTTTTCTGCTGCAGCCTCAGTTCTGGAGTTCCAGTTCCGGAAAATAGACTACAGTTTTTCTTTAACCGTAACATTAATTTAAGTAACAGTTCAAATCAAGTAGAATTTATTTTATTTACAGTACAGCTTCATAATATGAGCTGCTGGGTGGCTAGCACGGGATGCAAAATGACAGCTTTTTATCAGGTAACACTTTATTTCAATACAGGCTGAGGTGGGCGATGTCATTTCATAAACTTAAAATTTATAAAACCCACTGTAATTTAGTTGTAAGCAGATATAAGCATTTATAACAGATGAATGACTGACAGTAGTAATAACACATTGTAAATGAAGGTTTATATGAAAAATGTATGTAGATATGAAATATGAAGCCTTATTTATTTATATTCATTGTAAATGTACATACATACATCTTCAACCCAGTATAAAGGTAACAAAATAAACCTTCTGGTGGCAAATTCAGTGTTCAAATCCACGAGCACACATGCACTGAGATCCAGATCAGAAAAAAATAAAATACCTCGATGGAGTTTTTTGCTGTTCAGAGGTGTGATAGAAAGAGAAACATGAGCTGTGTGAAATTAAGAAAAGACACATACCACTCTTTTCACAAATTGGTCATGAATGGTGTCTTCCACAAACAGTCTGCCAGCTGCGATGCAGTTCTCTCCCTTGTTGAAGAACACTGAGCTCATGCCCTGAAATACACAGAGAACACTGTGGTTTAATGATTTAAACGTGCACCAAAATCACCAAAACGTTGCTTCTGTGAGTGAACACACCATGCGCACAGCCTTGTCCATGTCACAGTCACCGAAGATAATGAGAGGGGATTTTCCTCCGAGCTCCAGAGAAACTTTCTTCACGTTGCTGACTGCACAGCTTCAGACGGAGGAGACACAGGCACACAAACATGAGCAGGAACGTCACATTTAGATTAGATAAGAGTTTTGTGGATGTGGTTTACCTCTCACCTCTTCATGATGTGTTTACCAATTTCAGTGGAACCTGTAAAGCCCAGCTTACGGACGTCAGGATGATCAGACAGACGCTGACCCACCAGAGCCCCTGGAGGAGAGGGACAAGTTTAATGATGACTCACGTATAATGCATGACAAGGAAGCCGGTGGCTGAATGTGTGTGTTCCTACCTGATCCAGGCAGAATATTAACCACTCCTTTGGGCAGTCCTGCCCTTGCTGCCAACTCGGCGAACTTCAGTGCTGTCAGTGGAGTCACCTGGAGACACAGACCTGTTTTTAGCCTCACTAGCAGCAGGGTTCTGGGAATGGCAGTGCTGGTCCAGACTGTAATATCTCAACTATTGGATGGACTGCCATGACATTTTGTATAGATGTTCGTTTGTACAGTGTGCCAGTCCCCTAAATCAGCACAACCCTAACCATAAACACAACACAACCCTAACCCTAGTTCGTTTTTTTTAATCCTTTTTAAGTTTGAGTACCTCAATCCTGTATCAGTATTGTACGCACGGTTTTAGAAATACTGAGGTCCAAAAACTGAATTTGCTAGGCAGGATTGAGGCAAAGAATGCAATTTGTTACTAGTTTTGATAATAATTAAAATGTAGTTTACTTTAGCTCTTCATAAACTATTTAAATTATTTATTTAATTTAAGCAGAAGGTTTAGGTTTAGGTTTAGCTCAAGCTCCGGCCGCGAGTCGCATAGATTTTTTTCCAGGCCTGGTTCAGGTTGGGCCTGATATTTGGGGCCCGATCAAAGCTCTACATAAAGCCTGACTGGTGGAGGCTGACCTGAGCAGGTTTGAGGACTACTGTGTTTCCAGCTGCCAGGCAGGCTGCTGTCTTCCAGGCCAGCATCATCAGAGGGTAGTTCCAGGGAATGACGATGGCACACACCCTGAGCAGAGAGAAAGGCAGGATTTCTGGCATGCTAATGACACGAGTGCCTGTTTGTAACTGTCATTTATTTATTCATGCAGTACTGGAAAAAAGTGAGTGATATATTAATCTTAGTTAATCTACTGATTTACTGAACATATGCGACATAATCTGCTCAACATATGTGTGTGTGTGTTTAATCATACAGACATATAAATCCACTCATCCATCTCTCACCCTATTGGTTCCTTCTTTGTGAAGGTGAGGTTACGATTGGGCCTGGCCTGGTTGATGGGGATGGTGCTGCCCTGTGAACAGAGGACATTATTCATTTCCACATATTTTTCCATATTCTGTGGCTGATCATCTATGTGCTACTACCACTTGGTGGTAACATTGATCATAGTTTTATATAGTTTCAGTTTTTCATTTTAGTTCTAGCAGCTGTCTCACTTGGATCTTGTCACACCAGCCGGCAAAGTAGCGGAAGGTTTGGATGGACATGCCCACATGAGTCTTTAGGGCCAGAGTGTAAACCGCTCCGGAGTCGATGGATTCGATGGTGGCCAGCTCCTCCTGGTGTTCCTCCATCAGGTCAGCCAGCCTGTGGGTGGGGACACACAAACACACAGGGTCACTGACTTTGCTTCAGTAATACTACCAGAGCAGATTATTCAAAGGTCAAAGACCCCTTTATGATTACCTTTAGTTAATCCTTATGTACATGGCTGTGCAAATACATATTTCTGATTGGCTGCCATATGTCATTCAGATTATATACACAGACAGAAAGTCTCATTTCCAGTGTCAGTATTTGACAACCTGAGAATGAGATTTAACAATTTTTCTCGGCTCTGATTGGTTGTTTTCGTTCAGGCCCCATGGATTCTTGCAAATACCATAAGGAGCACTAGGAGGAGCCAGAGGAACCTGATTGTTTCACAGGTGATCTGTCTCATGTATTACTGTCAGAATATAGTAAAAGTTTCAGCAAATACAAATATGAATATAAATATGAAAAGTAATTTTTTATAAGTTACCTACTGCAACTTTAAAGCTGCACAGTTAAAGTTGTTCCATGCGGCCTTTTTTTTGTTAAAATAAGTGTTAAATTGCTCTACTTTCTGACAGCCATTCCTGATACACAGTGTTTAGTCTTTAACATGGGTCTCCAGTCCCTCCTTTCTTCAGAAAATCCATTTCCACTTTATCCAATCAGGACAAGAGGCTCTGCGCATTAGAAGACAGACAGCAGAATAGACCTTTTTCACAGCAGCCATTTTGGCAAGTAATAGTAAAGAAGAGTAAACACAGGTGTTACCAATTATATTAATTAAGGCTCTGATCCACTAAGGTCAAACAGTCAGGGTGCTGCTATTAGGCAAGTTGGCTCACTGGAAAGACTCTGCTACACTAAATGGAACAGAACCTCAACTAGTATAATTGGTAATACCTGCGATTACCCAACTATTTCAGGTCAAAACGTCTGCTGTGAAAAAGGTCTATTTCAGTGTGGAGACATGGGGAGGAGGGAGTGGACAGCTAGCTGAAAGAACATACAGGAAGTTAGCCAAAATGGCAATTTCGAAAAAGGACACCGACCTGTAGATGAGTCTGCCTCTGTCTCTGGGGTTCATCTTGCCCCACTCGCCCTCTTCAAAGGCCTCCTTAGCAGCAGCCACCGCCCTGTCCACATCACTAATCTGGGCCAGAGACACGTCACAGATGGCCTACAGGACAGACAGGCACAGGACGTAAAATCACAAAGCCTGCAGAGAGAACAGCCGTGCTCCAACCAGAGGCTAGAGAATTCCCCTGTGGGATCAGTTAGGTAGGGGATGGAGACTTCCTAGCAACCCATCACCAGACACAGCCACCAACACTGGTTGTCCTTAGGCCAGACATAAAAAAATCACTTTATTGTAGATCTGCTGGCCTTGAAAATATAAAGATGCTATTTAATAAAAGACAGTGTACATGGGATAATGTGCTCTCATACTATAAAATTCCTTTTACAGCAGTAAAAAATGTCTTTTGGTCCTTACCTTGCCGTCAGTGGGGTTGATGGTCTTGTAGGTCTTTCCTCCGTCCGCATCAACAAACTCTCCATTAATGAACAGCTGATGAGGCATCTTTATGGTCATGTTGTTGATGTTCTTCTCCACCTGTCAAATTAAACAGGACAACAGTCGACATGTTGTCTTCAATGGGCCATTCACCAACAAATACCAGCCAGCGACAGCGGCTCTCTAGGAATTTAAACACAGCCAATTGCACTCACATAGTCGACGACCAGTTCCTCCTCGCCGTCCTCCCCTCTGAGCTTCCTGACGCACATCTGGATGAAATCCTGGAAAGTGGTGTTCATGTAGACATCCTCGTTCTGCAGCTGGCAGCCACTGGCCCGGAGCTTCACCTCCTCCACAAGCCTGGAAGTGTATGGCAGACGGAGAAGAGAGAAATGCATTCATTGGGATTTCTTGGGATAATGACCCTGAATAAACTAGTTAAAAGTTTCTGTTGCTTCCCAGTGGTAAAGTTAGGCTAATGTTTTTCAAACAGACTGCCCATTTTTAAAAGATGTTAACAGTTTTTAATTGGCAATAAACACAACTATCATCAGTTCACAGCTATTTTGTCATACATGAAATTATTGGACAGACATTTCAGTCAAGAGATCAAAGTTATTACAATTAATTGTCTAGGAAAGTGGTCTTCCAACTGGGGTCCAGGGACCAACAGGGGTTCTTGAACTTGAGAATATTTTGAAACCTGCATTGTTTACATTCTAGCAGCCTTCTTGGTGCATTACCGCCATCAGCTGTCAAACAGTGGAATAACATGAAGCAGGCAGGAGGAGTGTGTATTGTGATGCACATATTCTGTGTCTGCGTACACACACAAGTAACAAACTACTTTTCTTGGTTCTTTACTTGGTTTTCAAACTGGGGTCCAGGGACCAACAAAGGTCCTTGAAAAAGAGGAATAGAATATTTTGACTTTTAACAGGTGGAATAAGGTTGGCCAATATGACTTGATTTACAGCGATCCTTGTTTGATTGATTCACTATGAAGACTTTCTTTAAAACTTCTATTAAGACAAAACCCTTTCAAATTGGGGGTCTGTGGTCTATCTCATGGCAATCCATCAAATGGTTGAGATATTTGATCAAGAACAAAAGTCCTGTGGAACATTTTGTACAGACATTCATGGTTCCCAATGTGCCAGTCTGTCTTGTAGATGTGGTTTCACTGAATAACTGTAATTGTGTTTTTTTCTGACTATAATGGATTACCTTTTTTGTGTCCTGATTATGTAACATTACATGTAATCTGTTACTTCCCAAGCCTGCATGGTGCTAGCATGGCTAAAACTGGATATGGAGAAGTGGATTATGCTGCTGGGTGTCCATGTTTTTTTATATACAGATATTTTGGGAGCTTTTTCCCCTTTATTAGACAGTATAGCTTGAGAGATAGACAGGAAAGGAAGAGAGAGAGATGGGATGACACGCAGCAAGGACTCAGCGTTGGTACATGGGGCACCAGCTCTACCAGGTGAGCTCTGTGAAAACACTATTGGATAATATTATAGCTTACAAGAATTCAAGCGGAATTGCAGAAGAAAGCCATGGCAACCTATAGTCATTGTTTAGTTTTTATTAATAACAACAGTCATAACTGTACAGTGTGCAGAGAAATACTATATTACGGTGACCTAATGTGGACATGTATGTGTGAACAGTTTTGAACTACCTGACCACATCCATGGAAGCAGCACCAGACTTGAAGAAATCAGTAGAGTCTTCGATGTCTGTGACATTAGTCAGAATACTCTGCCACACTGCCTGTGAGGAAACATTGTCAAAAGTCAGCATGGGACATTTTTTTGTGGACGGATACACATTTCACTAGCAAGCTCTCAGTTCAACTTCCCTAGAATTGGTAGGACAGGAGGCCCTACCCTTATCTGTTCAGCGAAGGTTTTCTCCTCCTCGGTGAGCTCCACAGCAGCACTGCTCCCTGAGTTGAAGTACTGCGCTGCAGCGATCATCTTCCCATCCTCAAACTGCAGATTCTTCACCAGCAGCTGCAGAGAAAGAGAGCACAGAATGGTCATAATGACTGAATAAAGTGTGAAACCAATTCCACCTTAAATGAGCTTTAAAACACATTGGATTAGCAGTGACTCAGTCTGTGTATAAAGTATGTCTACAGGAGAAAGGTGTCAAATGGAGTCAACAAAATACAACGTCTGACCTGTGATTGTGTTTGTCACACACAGTTTACCATTTTTATTCATTCATTCATTTTTATCATTTTTGTTTGTGGACTGCCTAAAGCCACATATCTTTTCTTTTACTGGCCTTCATTGTTTGGAGAAGTAAATAAAATGTATGCCTGCTCTCATCTAACTTCAAAATTATTTCAGATGTCACATATCTTGACTCATAGGCCCCGCCCCTTAAAATCAGATTTATAATGAGCA